CTCTAAAAGATACAGGAATAGCCCATAGAAGGAGCAGCCTCCACCAGAGGCTGAGCTCCAGACATTTTGGACAGCGCACAGGCACAACTTTCTGTGTGGCATGGAAGCCATGCAGCTGGAACTGGCCAGGAGTCTGTCCTCGCAGGTGCCTGGGAAAGCTGTTCACGAGAGGTGTCAAAACTGCCCTCAGGAGCCGCAGGGAAGACTGGTGCCCCCAGGAGCTCCGTGCTGGGGAGGCTGGCTGCGTTGTAGGAGCCTTCCAGGCTGCTAGACCAGAACCAGGAAGCACGGTCTTTCCAGCGCTCTCTGCCGAAAAGCTTAACGTCACGCCAATTGACGAAAATTATTTAAGAGGCTCAGATCCATTTTCACAGGGCATGCAAAAAGGGAGAATTTGGAGCGGAGAGGCAGTGCATCGATAACCAGCACAGTGATTGAGAAATACAAAAAGTCACGATATCCTCAGTGAAAAATTCCATGTGTGCTGCCAAAAAGACTCTATGGTGCATTTCAGATTTAGGTCTTAGTCTTACCACTAATATGATTTTTCTCTCTTGGTTGGGAATTGACAAGATTTTTTCCCTCACTTATTAGAAGTGTCAGGCATACAGATAAACCCGGGCTGCAGTGAGCACCTGGAGAGGCTGGAATAGCAGACATGAAATACAGGAAGGAAACAAGGTTGTCTGATGCTCTTCATACCTCCAGATACATTATCCCGTCAATTTCATCTTCTTCAGGGTCTCCAAGACCTCAGGATGGACTGGCTTCCTTCTACTTGTACATAGCTGCTGGCCCAGGACCATTCTGCACCATTGCCTACATTGACTTCCCTTCTTTCCTGTGTTGGAGCATGTCTTTTAGTTACTGAAATCCTCCTGTTTCTTGATTCACTCCCTTGTTTGTTGGGGCACATTTTCTAGCAGCACGCTGAGAAAGGTCGCAAGGGAGGTAATTTGTTTTGAGACCATGTGTAGCTGAAAATATCCATTCTATCCTGACATTTGATTGGTAGTTTGGCTGGTAATCAAAATCTATGTTGGAAATAATTTTCCTTCAGAAGTTTGAGGTCATGTGCTCTTCGGGCAGACTTGTGTCCATAGCTTTAGGTCTTTCCTTTCAGGGCTGGTCAGATCCTCCAAAGAGTCTTCCAGTTTCTTGCCTGGAGAATGTAGGTCTGGCTTTCAATATTTAAGAGCAGAATTGGGGAAAAAAGATTGGTGGTCTCAGCATTCAGTATGTAAACACTCTATTTGCTCTGTTTTTGGTGCAGTACACTTACCTCAAATGTGCCTGATATCCCCCCTGTCCAGAGACCCACCCTCTGTTTTATACTCTTCACGATGTAAATCACTTATCTTGCACTGGAGCAGGGTGGGGAGGGCCTTACGGGGAGTTGTGTATATATGTGGAGGCAGGACCTGGGAATTCAGCTCCTTACTGCCACTGTCAACCTGTGTCTATTTTTGGCTCATCTCTCACCCTCCTTCCACAGCTGCCTTATTTGACCAAATCCCAGCTTCAGGGGGTGGGAGGTTCTTAAGTGCAATTTAGATTGTGTCTTACCTTTTCTCACTGCTAAATTATGAACATTGTTTAGACCTTGGGTAAGGGACCGGTTCTTAAACAAGACACAAAAAACATTCACCATGAAAAATTATTCTTCAAGTTGTTCGTTGCCTTAAACAAAGGTGTCAAGTCTGTCAAAGGTTTAATATCAAGAATCTAATAAAGAACTCCTACACCTCCACATGAAGACAATTAACTCAATGTAAAAAATGAACAGGAGATTTGAACTTAACATGTGTTTCACAGAAGAGAAAACACATGTGGCCACAGACACAAAGAGATGTTCCACACCTGTGTGACAGGGCGGTGCAGATCACAACCACAAGGAGAGTGGTTTCGTGGGTACAGTAATAACAAAGAAGCAAGGGAAAAATCAGACATGGGATTTAGGACGATAGTTACTTCAGATGGGGAAAGCAGAGGGATGGATGGTGAGAAGGAACGTTTGGGTAGAAGCAGGTTCTTGTTAAGGTCCTAGCTTGTGTTTTGGGTGGGATGTTTGTGGGGTCCTTGTTACATAATTGAAAATAATTAGATAATTAAATACATGAAAAAAATAAAATAAAAGCCTAACAGGGCTGGGGCTCCCAAGGTGAAGTAGAGATCCTTACTCAGGTGGCTCTCAGTTCTTCGGTTGTCTGTTTTTTAAGAAGTAGCATTCTGAATCCTGGAACAAGTGTTTTGTAGTCAGAAGTTATAAAAAATGTATATATATATATATTAATCTAAAGTTAACGAATTACATTTCCTAGGTGGGGTTCATATGCTGATAATTATCTACTTTATAGAGTTTTAGTGCATAAATATTTATAGCTATTTCTGTTCTTTCATAGAAATTTTACATTTTTTTCCCTTTCTTAGGACAAAGTTAAACTATAATCCTCCAAAAGATGATGGATCAACCTATAAGATTGAACTTGAAGGGATATCGGTAATGGTTATGAGAGAGATCCTGGATTACATCTTCAGTGGGCAGGTATGATGAGACACACAGGGAGGAAGACTAAGTAGAGGCCTCTCAAGCTCAGGGTGAGGGTCTCCTTCATCCATTCTATGACCCAGCAACATTGTCCTCTTCATCAGTCATTGTCTGCGTGACATGTATCTCCTGCTGGGAATGGCGCCCAGCTGTTCTTCCGGGGCTCTGCTCTTAAAAGAAAAGCAGACTGAGTAAAATCTTAACCCAGTCCCAGTTTTTGTATTTATCATTCTGAGCTCCACCTTCCATCGTGAGATGGGAAGGACCTGGGATGCTCCTTTCATGGCTGTCTTTATGTTTTTAAACCTTAATTCCCATCTTGCTCTGTACCCCATAACCTGGAAATGGGAGCTTCTACGGGCAGTGGGAGTTATTTTATAGAAATAAAGAGCCTGAGATTCATACAAATGACAAGCACCTGCGTTGTGTTCATGATGCCTGGGTTCTGTTGCCTCAGTAGGACCAACATCCCTGTTGCACCCCATTCTTGCTGATGTCCCTTTACTTTCTGCCCACTTATATTTCTGGGGATTTAATGAAACCCAGGGGAAAAGGTGATAAGTGATTAGACTTTTTCTTTTTCTTTTACTTTGCCATCCTCAAGCCCCCAACCCCTGATTTTGTGATTTAAAATGTATCATGAGGGCTCTTATGAACAATCTTAGGTTGAACCAGGGCTAGTTTATTAACAGGAAGAAATTAGTGTATCTTACATTTGGGTATGTGAGAATACATTTTATCTTGACTCTTTTTGAGAGCTTCTTTCCTTCTCTCTCCTGTATTCCTTCCTCATCTTATTTTACCTTTCCTGTTTGTAAGAGCCGCCTCCTACGTGTTTTCTAACACACTGCTTGCCTTCTCTGCATATATTCATTCAGTCAACCTCGGTGATTGTCATTCTTTTTGAAGTTTTTGGGTTAATTTCATGATGTTACCCTTTCTCTTTTCTCTGAACACTAGGTGGGGGGGGTATGTGCATGTAAGATGATGTGTGTGATTGTTAAAAATAAATGAATTTAGATTGATTTGGGACAGTCCTTAAAATACTGAAGATACTCGGAAGCATCACAAACCAGGCTGAGGACCAACCTCTCATCTAACTTTTAAAATCATTTCAGCAGCAACTATAACAAGTTACAAGCCAGGAGGAACATATTCCTCTTCGGGCTTGGATTTGAATCTTGAAACCTTATTTACAGATAGACTTCTGTGTTTTGTTCCCAGTTAAAATTAATTATGGTTTAAGAAAAGAAAAATAGAGAAAAAAATTAATTATGGTTTATAACCATAGTTGCAACATAAGTTATAACCAACTCCTGATCTGGCACTTCGGTTTTACCAGGATGGAATGTGGTGGTTTTCTTGCATGCCTGTATCTGACTGGTGTACAGCCATCCACTGCTGTGTGGCTGAATTTAATACATCAAGTAAACGGGAAATTTTTCCTTACTTGTGACTTGCTCGACACAGTTCTTTCCACAGTTCTGTTGCTCAGTTTATATAAGGTGATTGGCAGTCATACATTCTTTTTTTGCATCTGTGGTACACAGTGTGTGAAATGTGACACAACGTTTCTTGCTGTACTGTACTCTGGAGCCTCTCCTTCTCATTTCCGAGTGTAGGACAAGCGCCCATTCTTTGGGAGAGGAGAACCTGGACCGCTGTGATTGTGGCAATGTTTTAGAGGCTTGTTTCTTCACATCGCCTTAGTGTTGCATGCAAGAACTGTGAGATGGGAGGAGGAAGCAGCATCAGAAGATTAAGGAAAAGTGAAGTTCTTAATGATAAACAAGAAATCTTACCTTAGGGATTTCTTCCAGAAAATAGGTTTGAGACCAGAGTGTACATGTGGCACCGAATGCGATGTTTGGCATTCAGAATGAGGTCCTCGGGCCGCGTGGCCCGCCCCTCTCCAAGGGACCGGTGTGGTGTGTCTGGCATGCCATCTGGCAAAAGACGGAACGTGGTGTATCTGGAGGCAGGATTTGACGCAGTTCCAGTGCTGGTGTTTAAAGGAAACCCCTTCAGTTTACCACAGAAGGCAGCACTGTCCACCTCGCAAGCATTTCGGCCACTTAGTTCTAGAAGTGAGCAACGCGGACAGTGCGCCCGGGAAGGGTTCGTGATAGTTAATGTTGGTAAAGCCAGGGAAATGCTGGGAAAAGTCAGCCAGCCATGTTCTGTTCACATTGTTTGAAGGTTCACCGGTGCCCTCAAACTCCTCTTGAGAAAGAAGCACTGGGCTGGACTGTGTGAAATTGCCAATATTTGATCATCTCTGACCTACAGAAGTGGAGCTTTCATACGGTTCAGCCTAATAGGTTAGTGGTTTGGGCTTTAAATACATACATTGAAGCGTAAAATATTTATGATACTCTTGTAGATCCGGCTGAACGAAGATACAATCCAAGATGTTGTACAGGCAGCGGACCTGCTCCTGCTGACAGATCTTAAAACTCTGTGCTGTGAGTTTTTGGAAGGCTGCATCGCAGCCGAGAACTGCATTGGCATCCGCGACTTTGCCCTCCATTACTGCCTGCACCATGTCCATTACCTAGCCACGGAGTACCTGGAGACTCATTTCCGAGACGTCAGCAGCACAGAAGAATTCTTAGAACTCAGTCCTCAGAAGCTTAAAGAAGTGATTTCTCTCGAGAAGTTAAATGTCGGCAATGAAAGATATGTGTTTGAAGCAGTAATTCGCTGGATAGCACATGATACAGAACTAAGAAAGGTACCTGTGGTTTATAACGTGGTCTGACCCTGCCTTTTTACTTCCTTATTCCATTCGTTCACTCATTTATTGGGTGTTTTCTCCTTTCCCATAAACTGGAAAGGCTTACGAAGTCGTGATCTAAAAGATGTCTGGGGGCGCCTGGGTGGCTCAGTCATTTGGGCCTCCAACTCTTGATTTCGGCCCAGGTCGTGATCTCTTGGGGTCATGAGATCGAGCCCCACATCGGGCTCCATGCTCAGAGAAGAGTCTGCTTGGGATTCTCTCTCCTTCTCCCTCTGCTCCCCCCATGCTCTCTCTCTTTCTGTCTTTCTCTCAAATAAATAAAATCTTTAAAGAAAATAAAAGATGTCTGTGGTACATCTTTGCATAGGATCACTGAAGTGGTTGTTTTTTTCAGACCAGACTACAAAAGTGCATGTAACTCCTAATATGGCAATGAAAATATTAATACTTGTAAGGAACATAATATCCTTTCTGCATTGTTTAGCGGGAAAATGCATTTCAAGCTTAAGCTGGGGATTTTAGAGATTCAACGTCTCTAACTCTCTTGTTCAGCATCCATCTCTGCACCATTACTGGGCGGACCCAGGCGGGGACTCTGATAAGGGCAGCAGAGTGAGAGGGGTGAGGGGAGGGGGCATCTGGAACCTCTGTGGTGTGGGCTCTCCCTGGAGTGATCGACACCACTCAGCAGAGAGCAGGAGAGCGCTCTGCAGTGCGGCAGTGTGGTTACAGAAGGGAAGGTTCTAGGAGCAACGGCTGGGAAGGAAGGGTCTCAGAGAATATCAGCCTTTAGATCCAAACTGGCACCACAGCAGGGGAGGGAGCAAAATCACGGAGCTTTAAGTCTAGTGTATATAGACTCCAGCTACAACTGCTATATTTGAAATAAGAACTACGTTAGGTTTTAGGGAAGTTTTCAAAATGTATAATCGCACTGTTAATGGTTCTCAGCAACTGTTGACTTGGGTTTTAGTGAATATCTTGTACTTTTTAAAATTCTATAGGCTTATTTAGAAACTGTGGACTACTGTAACACGGATAGAAACTGTTGCGCAGTGATGATAAGGAAACGCACACTCCCATATGGTCGTAGTCTCAGCATAGTCGGTACAGCTAGCATTCGGTTTTCCACGTTTGTTGGGTAGATGAGGAAAGGAGATAGGAGAGTTCCCAGTTCGCTGCCGCGCAGAGACCACAGTCGTTAGCTGTCCCTTCCTTTCTTCTTCAAGGGGCGAGGTTGACTATTCCAAAACCAAGAGAAACTAGTCACTAAGGAGTTTCACCTCGTGTATGTAGAATGCTGTAGTCCGTTAGTTCAAATTTAATGAGTCATCATGAAAAGTACATAATTCATATTATATGTTAGATTTTTTTAACAATGAAGAAATACATAGTACTCAGAATTTTTCTGAACTATACCTTTTCTATGTTTTTCTTGTAATGTTAATGTTGATCTATTTTAATTATCTATTTAACTGTACAGAATCAAGCTACTCCTGTGTATAATGTTCCCATTAATGTGATTTAACTCCCAGCACATCCAGCTGTGTGAAATAAGGCCACTGCAGCCGAGTGACCCTTTGGGGTATAAAGAAAGCTGCTTGCAACTTTTCCGTGATACCTCAAATATAAACCTGAACTGATGATTCTTTAAGTTAAACTTGTCTTTATCAAGGCTATGGGGAAGTAGAAAGGAAAGGGGCCAGTAAAGCATATTCCAGCACTTGTGACTTGCCCGCTGATAATCCTTTAACAATTTCAGCTTTTCCGTGAGTCAGAAAACATATGTTCTACAAACTGTGTGCTGTGTCCTACATTTTTTTTTCTCCCCATCCTTCCTACCCTCTGGTGCAGGTCCACATGAAAGACGTGATGTCAGCTCTGTGGGTTTCAGGGTTAGACTCCAGCTACTTACGGGAACAGATGCTCAATGAACCATTAGTACGAGAAATTGTCAGAGAGTGCAACAACATACCGCTGAGCCAGCCGCAGCAAGGGGAGGCCATGCTCGCAAACTTCAAGCCCCGGGGCTACTCGGAGTGCATTGTGACTGTTGGTGGAGAAGAAAGAGTGTAAGTATGGATGTGCATCGTTTCAAGAGTCGTAAAGGAAGAGCTATTTCCGTGTAAACAGGAATTCATGGTATTTTTTTTTTTGGTATCTAAGCATAATAGCAGTAGATTTTTTTTAAATGTTTTAAACATTCTTTAGAGCAGTAAAACTAGTCATAGTTATTATAAGCAGAACTATATAAAACACAATAACTGCTAATCAATTATTTATTTCCTTAGTTCACGGAAACCAACAGCAGCGATGCGATGTATGTGCCCTCTTTATGACCCTAATAGGCAGCTTTGGATTGAACTGGCCCCTTTAAGCATGCCAAGAATTAACCACGGAGTTCTCTCAGCAGGTACCATTCTGTGGTCAATTTTACTTAAACACAAGATCGAGTAATATGTAATTTTAGGGTTGTACAGAATGACTCGAAACCTTTTAGAGATTTAATTTTAAGAGATAATTTTATTATCTCCATGATGACGTCTTCTGTGTAGCTCTCGCTTTCAAGACTTTGTAAGGAGAAGAGTATCTTCTGTCAGTCTTTATTGTTCCTGAATCTTTAATACGTAAGCTATTTTTAAGACTTTAGTAGAGGAGCATTTTACTTGATGTCTTACCGATAGAAGAGCCACATTCAGTGACTCTTCTCACCCGTTAGCTCTGTGGCTGCACCCAGAACACGGAATTCCCTTGAGCCATAATAGTCCCGTTTTTTTGAATTCATGCAATTTAGAATTGCAGTAACTACATGAAAAGTAAAGGTGTTATGTCAAAGCAGCCATTTTGTGTGAGACTTTAGAAAACATTTTTTATATTAGCATGGCTTCAAGTTATTTTACTACAGAACGCATGTTTCACTTGACCTTCCCAAGTTTGAAAACGGCTCCATGTTAGTCAAAGCTCTCACTCACGAAGGTGATAGGAAAGGCTGTACTTGCTGCCTTCTGACTGTTTGCTGCCTTTCTCTTCACCTTGCTCTGCTCTTTTGGGTTCACCCACAAGTGCCATTTCACTAAATTCCAATTAAAATCAACAGTCTTCCTGGAATGCTTCATATTTTATAGTCTCTGCTTGCCCACTAACATTACTTTAAAGATTTTGAAAGCTATACCATACCATTCCATATTATAGAAATGGCCAAAGCTGTACTGTAGTACAGAAATGGAATCATTTTTTGGGTTCCAAAATGATTGAAGTTATTGTCAGTAATAAGCAGCAGGATGCAGTGGGGTAGCCAACAGGATGTGAGTCTGATTTCCTTGTTCTCTCTTCTCAGAATTAGCTGCCTTACATTTCCTTCCCACAACATGTACACCTATTCATAATTTTCACACACACATACCTGCTACAATGTTTCCTATGTCACAGATTTTCCAAGATTTCCTCGAGGGGTTGGTATTTCAGAAACATTGAGCAGTGAGGATGGGGTCGTGTCCAGTTGTAGTGAGCAAAGCTGTGACATGACCAAGTGGTTCCTATTTGTCCAGCCAGTACTGTGTTACTTCTTTTCCTGCCTTTTTTTTTTTTTAATTGATGGACTTTTTTTGTCATTCACTTTGTTTCTGCTCTTCCAGGTAGAAGTTATATTCTTTGTCTATATCGCTTTGAAAGTCATCATAGATACCATAGCCTGTATTCTTAAGTTATAAAAGCCCAAGTGCGTTTCTCCTGTTCTTCATGTTTCACAGTCTTGCATTATTAAAATATATGACTGTTTATGAATAAGTATCTACATATAAATGTTTGATTCATCTGTTTTGAATATATGCATAGAGAGAGAGAAAGAATGTTTAGATTTACCCACATATTCACCACTTTCTTTGTTTTTCCTTCTTACTCCTCAGACCTTCCATCTAGGATTATTTGCCTTCTCTCTGAGGTCTGTCCTTTTGAATTTCCTTTATTGTGGTCTACTGGTAGCAAACGCTTCGATTTCTTTGTCTAACAATGTCACTGTTTTGCCTTCATGCTTAAAGGATACTTGTGCTGGGTATAGAATTTTAGGGCATCTTGACTCTGTGGCTTGGCCTTTCCTCAAATCTGGAAAATTCTTATTTTTACATATTCATGTATTGCCTCTGCCCCATTGTCCTCTTTCCTCCTGCTTTGGAAGTCCAATTAAACATGGCTACACTTTTTGCTCTGTCCTTAGCCTCCTGCCTCTGTTTTGTTTTGTTTTTCATGTTTTTGCCTCTCCATGTGCTGCCCTCTTTATGGTTTCTTTTGACTTACCCTCCAATTAATGAGTTTTGTCTTTAACTGTGACAGATCTGCCATTAAACCCATCTATTAATTTTTTTTAATTTTATCTGGTGTTTTTCTTTTTTTATTCCTAGAGATTCTCTTTAAATCTTTTTCAGATCTGCTGTGTCACTTCTACAGCCCTCTTTTTCCAAGAGTTCTCTTAAAATTTGTCTTTCAGGGCATTTGCATCAGGCTCCCTGCTCAGTGGGAAGTCTGCTTCTCCCTCTCCCTCTGCCCCTCCCCCACGCTCATGCTTTCTCTTGCTATCTCTCTCTCTCTCTCTCTCAGATAACTTAATAAAAGCTTTTTTTAGAAATTTGTCATTCAGTTTTTAAACATAGTAAGCATTCTCATTTTATTATCTTTCTGGGTAGTCCAGTATTTGAAATTTGAAGTCTCTGCAAGACTACTTCCTGTTGTCTGTTGTTGCTGGTTCTTCTTTATAGAGTCTAGTTTGTGTGTCCGAGTATCTTTGGTTGGGTGCTGATCATTTTATTAAAAATTATTTATAGGAATAATTTGATGCTTTAAAATCTTAGAATATTAGAATCTAAAGATTAGGTAAGGATACTTCCTTCCACACAAGTTTTACATTTGTTTCTTCCAGTTGTCTATAAGCACTGCAAATTTGGAATTGAATTACTGTAAATCAAATTCAAACCTTGAGATCTCCTAGACAAGGGAGGAGATTTAAATCTGGGTTCTAATTCCTGTTGAACTTTGGAGAGGCTCTCGTGCCAAAAGTCACACTTCCTGTGGGCCTGGGATTTTGATTTTTGTCCCTTTCAAGCCCTCAAAGCCATTATAAGAAAGGTTGGAAATTTCCCAGTTTGGTAAATGCCCTCAAAGCAAAATGGTTTCCATAGGTGGTGACCTCTCCAGCTCCCACTTTTCCTTTCAGCTTTGCCATATTGTCCTGTTGGCTTCTTCTCTTTTAAGATTATTTCAAAAATGCTTGTCAAACAAAACAAAACAAAACAAAAATGTTTTGTCCAGCAATTTAGCTGTTTTGCACAGGAGTTGGTATGAATAACTTAATCCACCATTACCTGAAATAGGAACTTCAACAGTGATTCTTAGATGCTGTTTTGAATATGAAGTGCACAGGTGCCCCGGATCTGAGCGCTCCTGGGTCTTGAACGAGCAGATGTGGGCTGTGGATCAGAAGTTGTTTGAGAATCACAGAGGGGGGTAGGATAGATGGAGCTGCTTGGTGTCCGTGTGGGTGGTGCCAGTCTGGGTTGTACGCTGTATGGTAGTGGGAATCCACTCAGCTGCCGAGTGAGGTGAACTGGCCAAAGTGACCCACCGATGTGAATTAGCCTCTCTCAGTGAGGATCGAATGAATTGTGATGAAGACCTCAAATCCACTGTTGTCATTAGAGAAGTTGCCTCCACATACTGTCTCTACAGCTGTGCCATTTGTATTCAGCAGGAGATGGAAGTTGAAGAGTGAAGTTTCAACTTTCTCGTGTGTCTCGTTTGATTTTTACAGAGGGATTCTTGTTTGTGTTTGGGGGCCAAGATGAAAATAAGCAGACCCTGAGCTCAGGAGAAAAATACGACCCAGATGCAAACACATGGACGGCATTGCCACCAATGAATGAGGTAAAACGTTCTTTTTCATTTGTTTGGAAGTGTGTCTGTCTTCCCTTCAGCACTTCCCTTTGTTTTACATCTGTGTACATGTAAGGAGAGAAATGGCGACCCGCCACACCCCCTGCTGGCTACGCTAGTGGCCACCGTCCCAGCTCTCCTCTCGTCCATCAGACCTCCTCGTGGCTCCACAGACCTGCACACTCGTGCTTTGGGACCTCTGCCAGCTGCCCATGGGGCTCGCTCCTTGCTTCCGCCAGTGTTTGTCCACGTGGGGCTTCCCAGGAAGCCTTCCCTCCCGCCCCTCAGCTATCCCGTCTCTGCCTGTTTTCTTCCTCTTCATATCATGTGGCACTTTCTCACATATTGGGTATTTTTTAATTGTTCACACAAACGATGGCTGAGGATTTTGTCTGTCTGCTCAGAGCTTTAGTGCTAGAACAGCGCTGGGCACAGCGGGGATGGCGGGGACACCAAGTATTTGTTGTCAAATGACCCCTCAGGCTTCTGTCATTCCAGTTGGCTGTAGCAGGAGCCTGGCCTCCCCGTGCCTCTCCCAGCCTCGGGCAGTGCTCTTGCTGTGGTTCTTCCTTGTCTTTCACACACCAACTTGGAAACACTTAGCTACAGCCCATTGCTAAACACAGATAGTTTTAGTGAACCAGAAGGTAATAGTTCTTGTTGTTGTGAGCTGTGGTGAGTAAAAAATGGGTGATTCCGCCAGTGAATTTATCATTGTCCCGAATAACTCCTGGGTTGGGTTCTGTCTCTTGTGACAGAAGGGTGAGCTGCTTAGGGAAATTACAGATGTCTGAGAGAGATGGTTTTGAGCATGCACCTCTTTTCTGAAACTCTGGAATGTGATGATATCTGTAATTTTTATTAAATGTGTGGATATCTGCTTTCAGTCTGGTAGTTGTGTACAGAGATCTTTGATGTCTTTTCAGCCACGACATAATTTTGGAATTGTGGAGATAGATGGAATGCTGTACATTTTAGGAGGAGAGGATGGTGAAAAAGAGCTAATTTCCATGGAGTGTTATGACATTTATTCTAAAACCTGGACGAAGCAACCTGATTTGACCATGGTTAGAAAGGTGAGAACCGTATCTTGTGATTACAAATTGGGTTTTAAAGTTAGCATTTCTTCTTTTCCCACATACGCCTTTTTTAGTGCAATCGATAGTGTTAAAAGAGTGAACGTTGTAGGCTTCTGTCGCTATCGGTGGCCCGCCTTCATGGTCATCCGCCGTGTACCAGGATAGGAGACGGAGTGTGTGCGAGAGCTCGCCCTGACGGTGGGCTCTGCGCTGGGCTGCTGTGTCCATGCCTGCGCTTGACAAGTGCCTCGGGAGCACACTCACCTAGGAGGCGGCCAGGTCTTCCAGCCCTATTTTCTTAATCATCATACGGGCCTGACGAGAAACAGCCTGCAGGTAAGCATGGCCATTGTGTCCTGAGTAGAGTGAAAACGTGGCTCCCATTAGCTGTTTCGAGCACGGTCTGTCGTATTCCCGTTCCCGTGTGGGAGGGAGGGGCTCTTCTTCACACCAAAGCTTCGTCTGGTCCTGTGGATATTTACACCTCATGTGCTGTGCTCCCAGTCTCAGTGCTTCACTCAGTTGGAGCAGGAATTGAGTGAGATGTTGCTCGACAGAATCTAAATCTTGGAATCTTCAAATAGTGGTAGAAGAATGGAGAGACTGGAAAGCTCCTTTAAAAATTAGGGTCATTTATGTATCTCCCTGAGCACAGTCGTGTCAGCTGGAGGTAACAAACAGTATGTGTACTACCTCCTCTTCTCACTTTTCAAGTCCTGTCTTTGTTGTATTGGAAGATACCATAGTTTTACTATTAGAAATCGAAACCTTTCCCTACGGTGCTCTCTAAGGTTAGCATTTGCCGAACGTGGAGTGTAAGTGTTGCCTCCCCAACTCTCGCTTTCTCCTTCCAGATCGGCTGCTATGCAGCCATGAAAAAGAAAATCTATGCCATGGGGGGAGGATCATATGGGAAACTCTTTGAATCTGTGGAGTGTTACGACCCAAGGACTCAGCAGTGGACCGCTATCTGTCCGCTGAAGGAGAGAAGGTATGAGAATGCAGTTGTGGACTCTGTAGGCACCCCCTTTCTTTCAAATGAACCTTTCACTTGACTTAGCATTTGGTTTCTATAAAAATAAAAGAATAATCCATTTCATAAAAAGAAAGACTCACATATTCATGAAACCCAGAACATTGCAGAGTTAAAACAAGCAGAAAAGGAGTTCGGGAATCAGCCATGAGTTGTAAATCCAGTAGCTGATATGCTCTGTGTGACCTTTCAGATTTGGAGCCGTGGCCTGTGGCGTGGCCATGGAGCTGTACGTGTTTGGGGGAGTCCGAAGTCGTGAGGACATCCAGGGGAGTGAGATGGTCACTTGCAAGTCTGAATTCTACCATGACGAGTTTAAAAGGTAAGTTTGAACGGTTTCACATAACTTGTACAACTTTTCCTTTCTGCTTTCAAAGTCATGTCTTAGATTTGTTTAGTTTTGTTTTCAAGTTACTTGACTGAGTTACCTTGTCTATTTAGGACATATGCCTAATGCCAGCTAGAGATTTCGTCAGAGACTTCAGAAGTATTCGTAGCTTAAAACCATAGAAAAGTGTTTCTGAAATCTATATCAGATCTTGACGCTTGGTTGTTTAAAATCATTCATTGGCTTCCTATGGCTTTTAGGAGAAAGTTTAAACTCCTTAGCCTAGCATATATGGCCTTCTGTGATACGGTCTTTCTCTATTCTTTCTGCTACTATTCAAACACATATGCTTTACTGGAGTTGCACTGAGCAACATTTCCCGCCCCCCAAAACATGTTATGGTTATCTTGGCTCTGTGCTTTTGTACTACTCCTTTTGCCTAAAATTTCCCTTCCAACATGTATCCAGTTAATATAGCCTCTTCCAAAACTGTGCCTAATTATCACTGCCTGGAGAAAACCTTCTCACACCTCTCAGTCTCGTTTAGGCTCCTCCATCTGTAATCCCAAACATTCAGTTCATGTCTTTTGCATTGTAATTGTTAACCATAAGATTTTCTTTTTTTTTTTTTTTTAAGATTTTATTTATTTATTTGAGAGACAGGCTGAGAGAGAGAAATCACAAGCAGGGGGGAGGGGTAGAGGGAGAAGCAGACTCCCCACTGAGCAGGGAGCCCAATGTGGGACGGGATCATGACCTGAGCCAGAGGCAGACACTTAACCAGCTGAGCCACCTAGGCACCCTAACCATAAGACTCTTGAGGGCAAGGTTCGGCTCAGCTGTCCATGGATCAGTGGATGGTTGATTCAGTAGATGAAGTCTGGTGTCCCAGAGTCTTAAAACATCTGACGGGTTGCCGTACTGGTCTTGTAGAGTAGACACCCTCCTACCAACCTCCTTTCCTTGTCTCCTTCCACACGTTTTATTGTGGTAACCACTAAACTGGACTATTCAAATCCTTAGAGGGAAATGGTCACGTGAAAATTCATCTTGTTACAGTATTTCAGTCCGGTTACCAGGAGGGGGTGCCTTAAGGCAACGTTTAATTTCATACTATTTTAGATGAGGGCAAACAATGAGCAGCAACCAAGACTTTAGAGAAAAATGTGAATGTTACCTAACTTTTAATGTATTTTAAATTGAGGATATTTGCATAGCCTTTCTTCCCCCCGTCAATTACATGGGTAGGCCCTCTTTGGAAAATTTATTAGACAACGTATGAGAGCAGTTTAGAAAATGTCTGCTATGGTGGGGGTGGGGCAGAATTTCAGACTTTTCTACATTTCTCTGGATCCATTACTGTGAGGGCTACTGTCCAAGGTATAAAACAGCATGTTAATTCCTGCCCAAATGGATCTCAAGACTGTCTGCTCAACTTCATTTATAAGCAGTGGTCAGGGTGTTTGGTCTCCGGTAGAATATTGACTTGTGCCATCCTCAGAGGGACCGAGTTCCTGTTTGGGCAGTGTGAGCTAGAGGCTGCCACTGGTTTGCTGGAGGAACCAGGGCCACTTGTGCCTCACCCTCCCCTGTCCCTGTGTGTTTCTAGGACTTAAATCTGGTGCAGAGTTTCTCGTCTGCCCTTAATATGCTATCAATTGCTAGAACTTTTATATTTCTGTCAGGTTGTTTCATATTAATAGTTGATAAGCTTTAAATGTAAGGGTATTACTTGCTTTCAGTTCATAAGTATGAGGCATAAGAATATGGCTCCTTCCTTGCTATTAAAAAGCACTTCCAGATAAATTCATGGATCATTAGTCTCTTTGTTTCTGAGCTGTCCAAAGTTAGTTTTTAAAGTGAGCTCTGGGGGCGCCTGGCTGGCTCAGTTGGTTAAGCGACTGCCTTCGGCTCAGGTCATGATCCTGGAGTCCCGGGATCGAGTCCCACATCGGGCTCCCTGCTCGGCAGGGAGT